GGCATTTCCATAAAATATATAAATATATATATATAGCCATACATATGCAACATATCCCTGACACTGACAAGGACGAGTCAGGACAGGGGTCTCCTCCAGCTGGGCACAGCACAGACAACTGAACACAGAGGAGCATCCCTAGGAAGACAAGTGATGCTGCTCAGCATTTCCCAGCCTGTGTGTGTGCAGACTGTGTAAGGAGGTGGTTTGCAACCAGCCCAGCACATCTGCACATGCCAGAGTTCTGGAAACGAGCAAAGCAAGGATGGGGCTGTCAAGCTGCAGCCCATTTGGACTTGCTTTGTCAAAGAGGAACATCAGGGGCTTCTGTGCTGGTTACGTAGAGATCTGGGGATCCTCTAGTTTACCCTCAAGGAAGGGCTGAGAAAGGCTGCTCCAGAGGAAGAGACTTTCAGTTTCCCGCCTCCCTTTTCCCTATCCAAGTTGTCAGCTCTTTGCATAGTGCTGAAAGCAGTAGAAAAGATGACTGGGCTGTCCTGCTTCCTCAGCCTTATTGCAACATGGGCTGGAATGAAGGCAAAAGAGTAACGGAGCTGCCTCGCTCTGGCTGCCTGCGAGCCACAGCGAACTCACTTACAAGCCTGCGGCACACACAGCTCATCTTTCCCAACCTGGAGCACCATATGTTTGTGTAGGAACACACAGACATCAAGAAGTGGGCATGGAAATAGATGCTTCAGCTCTCTCTTAATAGGATGCCACGCATCCATGCACGTGCTGGTGTGGGTGGCCTTCCAGATGGCAATGCTGGGCAGGGGCAGCTCAAGCCTTCCCTTTTGTGCTTTCCAAGCGTTCCTGGGGTGGTGGGCAGGAAGGAAAAGCAGGATTGCTGGAGCGCTCCAGGTCTGGAGAAGGTGACACTGTGCTACTGGAGAGTGTGGGGGCTCTGCAAACAGGTTTGCTGGGGGAAAACTGCCAGGCCTTTCTCTTGTCATCAGGTTGCGTATGTTAAGTCCTAAGCTCAAGAAGGCCACGAGCACATCCTTGCTCACCATCTCACTCTGCCTGGATAACGTGCCCCATGCAAGGGCTGCCTTGGTGCACTGCTCCCCACCGAGGACACCCAGCTCCCCAGGGCTGAGCTGGCTGCAAGGCACAGGAGAGCTCGAGAGCATGAATCCTATTAGCAGGGACCAGGACTGGAGCATTATCAGATTACAAGTCAAAAGCAAAGCACATGCCAAGCTCCCATGTACAGGAGCATCCACAGCTACTCAGCTACCAGGTGCAAAATCAAGGCTCAGGTTTTGCTGCGTGGGTGGCATCACCAGGGCTTAGAAGGGCAAAGCCAGTCCCTGCACTAGACTGCAGCACATAGGGGCTCTACAAGGGCAGCACAGAGGCAGGAAAGCTGCCGTGGTGCAGAGATGCTTCCAGCTCCATGAAGACATGCATTGCTTTTCAGGGAGGGTGCAGTGGGAGCAACAAGTACATGGGTCTAGGAGCCATCCTGCCCACAGGGACACAGCCTCTGGTCACCCTTACCTCAGAGCTTTGCAACACAGACATGCTCAATACTTACATTAATGCACAGTGACCAGGAGGCCAGAAAGGCCACAGCAAGACTTACCACCACGGCAGGACAGCCCCATCAAAGGCTTGTGCTTTCTGCACAGCTCCTCTCTATCAAGGGTCACCACTCCTTCCATAGCCATACTACTGTTTTAAAAGTAGTCGTCACACACACAGTTGTAAGGAGACAAATACACCTTCCAGCTCTGCAGCCAAGTCCCAAAGCATTGCAGAGCAGTCAGCAGGAAATCCAAGACAGGACCTGCCTGGAGACATCCTCCTCACCCAGTGCTCCCAGTGCAGGCACAAACCTCAACCCCTGCCCCTAAAGACATTAGGTGAGATCTCCCTTGAACCTGGCCCTTTTCTACCCCATTCACAGCTGACACCTTTGAGGATTAGCTGGTCTAGGGGGATTTGCATCACCTGGGAATGATTCCTGACATGTCATCTCCTCCTAGGCTGCCTTCAGCTGCAGTCCCAACTATATTCCCATATTAAAAAAAATACCCTTCTCAGGCAAACTCTGTGTGGGAACTGGATGCTCATTTACTAGTTTGCAGTTCCTTTCCATGTGGTTCCTTCCAGCCTTTGGCTCCCCAGGATTTTCACATCTATCTATCCTATGCACATGGGCGCGCACGGTCCTGGTGTGCAGGTCCCCAGATGCCAGGGAGAGCGCGGGTGCTCTGACGCTTGCACAGGGGTTGTCGCAAGGAAAATTTTACTTCTATTACTTCCATCCCCTTTTCACCTTCTCTTGCCACTCCTGTCAAAGCGAGAACCAGGAGGCAGTTTGCAGATCTGTGTGATTTTGAGGTCAGAACTTTGTTCTTGGATAAAAGTCCTAAGAAGAAAGAAAGAAAAGAAAGAAAAGAAAGAAAAGAAAGAAAAGAAAGAAAAGAAAGAAAAGAAAGAAAAGAAAGAAAAGAAAGAAAAGAAGGAAAGGAAAGAAAAGAAAGAAAGGAAAGAAAAGAAAGAAAGGAAAGAAAGGAAAGAAAGGGAAGAAAGGGAAGAAAGGGAAGAAAGGAAAAGAAAGACTCCCAAAACAATCCCATGGAAAAGCAGAGTGGGAGAAAGAGAAGGAGAAAGGAAGGAGCCTGGGAAGCCTGTGCGGCGCTTTCCCGGGCTCCGGGGACAAGGGACTCTTTGTTTCCCGGCCAGAGCCGGGGACGGGCCCTCTGCGCTCTCCCTCCCTGGGAAAGGGGCCAGGGCCGAGCAGGCAGCAGCAGGGCCACGAGAGCCCCGGGCTGCAGTTAATAGCCCTGTCTGTGTTTGGGGACTTCGCGTGCTTTTCATTAGCGAGCAGGGGCACGTTAAAAGTGCATCCCCCTGCCTGGCATGAGGGATGCTGCCTGGTACCTGTCCCTTGGAGACTGAATGAGCAGACTCGTGTTGTCCTAATGCAGGAGGTTTGAAACCCATAAGCAACGTTCCCATGCTAATTTACAACTTATTTGATAAAATGCATCACAGCATCCAGGCCATTTGCAGCAGCACAGGCCACGGAGCCTCCGTGCTGCCCCGCCGGCAGCGGTGCTAACTCGGGATGCTCCTGGGGCTTGTAAATCCAAAGGGATTCCCGGCTGCAGATTCAAAGAGAAAAGCAGCCCAAAGGAGAGGAGGATTCAGTTCCCTTGATGCTTATTAGAAAGTGAGGCAGGAAAAGGAGAAAAGTCTCTCGCACGTGTCAAAAAGAGATACTCTGGCAACTGAAATAATGGGGTTTTTTTAATGCTGTTTCACCCTCCTGGAAAAGCAGGCTTTTGCATCGTGCCTGCCCTGCATGGTCCTGGCAGGCAGGCAGCACTGGGGACAGTGACATCCCAAAGCCACAGCTGAGCATCTCTATCGGGACACCACCAGGAAGGGGCCTGCTGGCCCTTGGATGGGTTTGGGAGGTTGGATGCACCCGGGAAGCGGCAGGAGGGAGCTGCACCCTCCGCTCTGCCCCTTCCCGCAGCCTGGCACCCAGGAGGGAAAAAGCAGCTGCCCGATCCCTGCCCGTGTTCCCACACGGAAAAACCCTCGCGGGTGGCCGGGTGCCCCTCGGCCTCGCAAGGCTGTGGGAACTGGCTTCCCTTAGCCTTATTATTACTACTGCTAATAGCAATAACAATTGTTAGGGCCAGAATGGCAGAGGAGACAGAGCAAGGCTTTGTTAAATTAAATAAATTAAAGGCAAAGTCCTCCTGCCCGTTTCCGCAGCAACCGCGACGTCACACGGGGCGAATGGGCTGCACGGGGCCTTTTCTTTTTTTCTTTTTTTCTTTTTTTTTTCTTTTTTTTTTTTTTTTCCCTGCTGATTATTATTAAAAGGGAAAAGAAAGCGAAGAGGAGCTGGGGCCGGTCGCCTGGCAACGCTGAGAGAGCAATGTCCTCCGGAGGGAGGGATATTGTTCCCAGGAATGCGCCCGTCCCAGCCCCTGAGCGGCCTCCAGGTCCCAGATGCCCCCGGCCCTCGGGCTGAGTGATGTCGCACTGCAGCCGCCTGGTCCCTTGTTTTGGAGGGTAGAGGGATCCCGGGGCCCTGGAGGAGCCCCCCGGCCTCGTGGGGGTCCTGGGGATGCTGTGTGGTACCTGGCACGAGGGATGCTGTGTGGTACCTAGCACATGGGATGCTGTGTAATACTCAACACGAGGGATGCTGTGCGGTACCTGGCACGAGGGGCGCTGCAAAAGGAAGCAAATGTCAGCAGCCTTTGGGGAGTGCAACCCCCAAATCTAAGTCCAGGCAGGCTCAAAGATAAGCAACCAGCTTAAAACCGTGCTGTATTTCCCAGGATGAGCACCCTTCTGGAGCTGTGGCAGGTTTGCAGCCCGTCCTGCTCGCGTTTTGCCAGCGATATCCCCTTCCTTGGCGGAGCAGAGAGAGCGGGACCCTCCTGCTCCCGCTCTTGCTGAGCGGGTTTGCAGCGGAGGCGCTAGCCTAGCTGGGGACAGTGTCTCCTCCAGGCCGTCACTGCCGCCTGCTGGGGATGGCCTCGCGTGTTCGTCATTCCCTTAGCCCCTTTCTGGTGCCTGGGCTGTGAAACGGAGCCACAGCGAGGTTTGAACCACCCATGGGAGCCCTCTTGCACCCTGTGTGCATCGGGGCTGCTGAGAGCACGGGAGCTGCCGCGCGGGAGCTGCTGGTGTCACCACCCGCTACTGCTGGCCCCACAGCAAGTCTGACCCATCCCGGTGTCCTTGCTCCTGCTGCCGGGCTGCTCCACCTCCTCGGCCCAACGGATTGAGACTTTTCTCTCCAGGGCACCAGATCCTGGGGCAGAAAGTGCTCCTGACCTTGACTAAATGGAACATGCCACAGCTTTTGCGTGCATCCTGCCTGCCCTGGTTGCATCTGCTGCTCCCGCTGCGCCAGGCAGTTCCGGCTCCTTCCCTCACTCCCATAACGGTGCCAGCAGCGCCCGTGCAGTGTCCATGCGGGAGCCTTTCCCCCCAAAACCCTCTTTCTCTCGAGGCAGGTTCATGAACCACCGCGTCCCGTCCAACCGGCGCTACCAGCCCACGGAGTACGAGCACGCGGCCAACTGCGCCACCCACGCCGTGAGTGCCGGTCCCGCTGCGGGGCACGGGGACCGCGCTGGGGCTCGGGGGCGTGGAGCAGGGTGGGAGGGCTCGGGGATGTGGGACAGGGCATGAGGGACAGTGCGGTGCTCCCGGGGACGCACTCCGGACCTGTCCTGGATGCCGAGCTCCTTCCCGGTGCTCTCAACCAGGGGAATCGCTCGGTCGCGCTCTGTCCTCAGCCTTTCCCAGGGTGGCTTCAGCATGAAGCCACTTCACTTCACTTCAGCATGAAGTGAAATTGAGAGAAATGAGAGCGGATTGTGCCGTTGGGTTGGTGCACGTGAGTGACAGGAGAGCTTCTGCCTTCCAGTTCTGGATCCTGCCCAGCATCCTCGGCAGCTCCATCCTCTATGTCCTCTCTGACAACCACTGGGAAACCATCTCGGCCTGGATCTATGGCTTCGGCTTGTCCAGCCTCTTCATCGTCTCCACCATCTTTCACACCATCTCCTGGAAGAAGAGGCACCTCAGGTAGCCTGGCCCTGGCTGATAAAAATGAAAAAAAGTCAGTGAAATATTGCAGACCAAAAGCTTGAGGACCTGGAACCCTGGTGCTGGTGCCACAGGGTAATGCAGCAGAATCCTTTCCCTGCCAAAGACAGGACTCAAAGTCCTCAAGCCCGTTAGCAGCAGCAAGGAGCCCATGGAGCTGACACGAGCTGTGTCTCACACCAGCCCTAGACCAGAGCACCCCAAATTGAGCAATCTGGCCATGGAGAGCAGCACGGGAAGGGGGTTTGGTGCCCTCGGCATCAGCTGCAGCGACCCCACGGCCAGAGCGAGCCCCGTGTCCCCCACCCCATGTCACCAGGGCTGGGTAAGCCGTCCCCGCAGCTCGCTGATGCACGTCCGTGTGTCCATCCCGCAGGACGGTGGAGCACTGCTTGCACATGTTTGACAGGATGGTCATCTACTTCTTCATAGCAGCCTCCTACGCTCCCTGGTGAGTGCGTGGGGCCGGGGCCGGGGCCGCGCTGCAGCCGTGGGTGCTTCCCCAGCGCCTTGGGCTTCTGCTTTGCGCTGGGCTGAGGGCAGCGTCCCCGCTCTGCGCCGCTGCTTCCCACCTCACCCCACACCCGGGTTCTGCAGGCTGAACCTGCGCGAGCTGGGGCCCTGGGCGTCCCACATGCGCTGGATCATCTGGATCATGGCCTCGGGCGGCACCGTCTACGTCTTCTTCTTCCACGAGCGGTGAGTGCCTTCCCGTGGTCACCTTGCATTGTCCTGGGCAGCTCTTCTGGCTCCTCCTAGTGTCCTAATGTAGCAAGAAAGATAGGTAGGTAGATAGGTCTGGGGTCTCCTGGCGCTGTCCTGAAGAGCAGGCACTGTAGGGCTTCCATGCACCTTGGCCTTGCACATGTGCATCCTACTCTTTGGACTGAGAACAGTGAGACCACAGCTTGGTGGCTGGAGTGGGGGGGAAGACGACACTGCTGCTGTGAGGTGGTTCTTCCACGGGGTGGCACCAAATAGAAAGAAAAAGTCCCCAAATGTCTTCCCCAAGTTTTCCAAAGCACCTCAGAGAAGGACGTGGGGGCGATGGGGTTTGGTTCTTGCCTGTGGGATGTGCTCCAAGGTGCTGGTTCTCTCCATCGCAGGTACAAGCTGGTGGAGCTGGTGTGCTACGTTATCATGGGATTCTTCCCTGCCTTGGTCATTCTGTCCATGGTAAGTCACGTCCAGCCTGGGAAGCACCTGGGCTCACTGCTTTGGTCCATAACACCTGAGGAGCAAGTCTCTGTGGGGCTGATGTGTCCCTGGCTGCTTGCAGGCTGGTGTGGTTCAGCCCAGAGGCAGCTGCACGATGGGTGAAGCGATGCCCAACAGCCTGGCCCAGCTTGCGGTGTGCTTTGGGTGCCCATCAGACATCCATGCACCAGGTTTCTCTGGTGGACCTACTGCCTGGATGCCCTTGTGTTGAAAGGGCCCCAGCAAAGCCATGCTGCTGAACCACACACTGCCTTGTTGGAGGAGAGGGTGCAGGAGATGGGAGGTCAAGGAGTCTGCTCACGTCTCTCTGCTGTTGCTGCTCTTTGGTCTTGCCCATGCTCCAGGGACAGGGCAGGAGCGACGGAGCAGGTTGTGCGGCTCCCGCTGACACCTCCGTGCTTGCTCTCAGCCCAACAGAGACGGCCTCCTGGAGCTGGTGGCTGGCGGGCTCTTCTACTGCCTGGGCATGGTCTTCTTCAAAAGCGACGGCCGCATCCCCTTTGCCCACGCCATCTGGCACCTCTTCGTGGCCATCGGAGCGGGCATCCATTACTACGCCATTTGGAGGTACCTCTACCAACCTGATGCACTGGAGGCCAAAACGTCCCGATAGAGGCCTTAAAGACCATGTCTGTGCCAGCCGGCATGTCGGGGACTGACGGGGAGCAAGGGCTTGGACCATGGACTTGCCACGGAGCCCCGCATCACCTGCTCTGTCCACAAGGAGACACCTCTAATGCCCTTCCTGCTCAGAGAGAAGAGCCTGAGGGTTGATTTTAAACAGATTTTTTTTAAAAAAAACCTTGAGAACTGTCTATTTTTGTAGGCAAAGTTTTTGTAACGTGATGACCAACCAGGGGGCTGCAGGACCACTTGCCAGGGCCTCAGGGATCTTCATCCCCAAAGCTTTCTCCATCTAGCTGTCCCCAAGTATCCCATGAGAGCTGGTGGTTCTGCATTCCTCTGACGAGGGCCATCCTGGGTTTGGCTACCGGGGCCCTCAGCTTGGACCACACAAGGTGAGAACCTCGGCCCATAGCCTCAGAGCTGCAGGACAAGGTGGGGGGGGTGACAAGGGATTTGGGATCCAACGCTGTGGTGGCCGTCCCAGAGATACCTCTATCCAGGCAGGAGTGGACGTGGCCGGCGTGCAAGCTGGGCTGGACCTGATCTCCAGCATGCTGGCAGGTTCTGCTGCTCTTACTGGAGCCGCAGATGGAAACCAGGCTTGGCCTTGGCTGGGCCATGGCGGTGTCTGGGGCTGGTTCGCAGCCAGCAGAGCAAGTAGAGCCAGGTCTGGGGAAGGGCAGCACATGGGGCTGGAAAGACCAGGCAGGGAGAAGCCAAGGGTGTCTCCTGGTTGGGATGTGAGAGATCTGGTTCGGGGCTCTCCTGGCACTTCATTTCCCAGCTCCTGTTTGCACGTCTCACCAGACACTGTCTGGAAACCCTGTGTTTTCCTCCCATGATTTCCAGCACTTGCCCAGGTTTTGCTCCTAAAAGCTCATATATCAGTTCAGATTTATGAGTTCCTTCGAGTCGAAGGTCCGGAGTCAACAACGCCTTACACGTGACTGAAACCGGACCCCCTTCCAGGTCTCCCCTGAGACCCAGGGCACTGCAGACCCTTTGTGCAAGGCAGCGTTCAGTGCCCAACGTGACACGTCCCTCCTGCCCCGGCGCTCCGAGCTCGGCCAACGCGCTCTCCACGAAGCAGCAGCCCATGAGCAAGGTCCCCGTTCACAGCATCTGCCACGCGCCTCTGCCGACGGGCAGGAGAGGGCATCCAGCTGGCTGGATTCACTCCATCCCGATTTTTTTTTTT